GGGGTTGGAGCTGGATGAACACTGTGCTCCTGTGCAACCCAGGCCTTTCTGTGATCTCTGTGTCTGCAGAAAATAGTTCCAAAAGTTACTGTACAAATGAGTGCAAGAATAATGAACCTTTAATGCCATGCTCGTGTTTTCCTGCAGGCAAATGTCAGCAATCTAAAGACTTTCCTTTCAGCTGTGAGACTGGCTCACCAAGGGACCGACGTCGCTGCTCTCCCACTCTCAGCTTTGGTACCAGCAAAGACCTCAGAAGTTGAGAAGCCTAAAACCAAACTGATCATCACTTCCAGAAGGGACTATCCGCTCACCAAGGGCTTCCCCTATTCCCTCGAACACCTCCAAGCCTCATACTGCAAACTGGCCCGGGTCGACACGCGTGTGCTGTGTCTGAAGAAGCTGCGAAAGTTAGACCTGAGTCACAACCACATAAAGCAGCTGCCAGCCACCATCGGCGAGCTGGTCTTCCTTCAGGAGCTGAACCTGCACGACAATCACCTGGAGTCGTTCAGCAGCGCTCTGTGCAGCTCCACCCTCCAGAAATCTCTCCAGTGCTTGGACCTCAGCCAGAACAAAATCAAAGCGCTCCCGATTCAGTTCTGCCAGCTGCGAGAACTTGTGAATTTAAAGCTGGATGACAATGAGTTGATCAGGTTGCCCTTCAAGATTGGCCAGCTGGATCATCTGCGCTTTCTGTCAGCGGCTCGAAACAAACTGCCCTTCCTGCCCAGTGATTTTAGGAAACTCTGTCTTGAGAACTTGGATCTCTTTGGAAATCCTTTTGAACAGCCCAATCCCCTTCTTCCCAACATACAATTGAAAATACCATTGACTTTATTAGAATGTGCTGCAAGAGCTACTGTAAATTACAGGTAAGGGTAGCACGATGGGCACACATTTCACCTCTGGCTCAAACCCGCTCAGCTTCCCTGGTTTGTTTTTTTTTCCATTAGTGGGAACTGCTCTTCACGATGCTCAAGTTGCTTTGAATTCTGCTCGTAAATTAATGCCATTATTATTCAGGATACCACAGCTTCCAGCAGTAAATTGGGAGCTTGGAAGCATTTAGAGAATGCTGTAGATTGAAATGAGTTGTATCCACAGGATGAGGGCACCATAACAGAATGTTCTTGTCCAGCCATAGGAAAAGGTTCAGTTCTGTAATCCTGAACTGCTTCCAGCTCTTTGTATGCAGGAGCTTGTCCTCCTGTGTTACAGCAGCTTTTAAGGCTCGGGTCGTGTTTTCTGTTGGGCTCTGGCTTAGCAATTGCTTTCAAACATGCTTGCCCCTCATCCTGTGCTCAGATTAAACTGTGCTAAAACCACGTGGGAAAACCCAGCCCGTAGCTGTCCTTTCCCATGTGAGAACAGCACTGGCAGGACGTCACCCTGTGCCACACAGCATGGAGGTCAGGCTGCTTTGTGTGGCACCGTGCAGAAGCTGAGCAGTGTTAGAAAGAGGCATTCCAGTAAGTCATTGCCCTGCTGGCCAGGCTGCTGGGTTTGTTGTTGTCTGTCCTCCTCTCCCCTGCCTTCACAGCACTTACAGCTCTCACTGTGTGCCCCTCCTGTGCTACCATCTGTTGCCATCCCCATTCTGCTCTTCTGGGTGGAAAGGCGGCGAGACAGTGGAGGAGTCACGGGTACAGACAGGTGGTGAGATAAAGACCTGAGGTTCTCCTAACCTGCTTGGTGTGCCCGTTCCTGCCTTGGGGTGGGGAGAGCCCAGCAATGCTGGCCTGATTGCTCAGCAGTCCGTGCTCCAGGTGTTTGCAGGCACACGGGGCGCACCCTGCGGATGAGGTGAGCAGCCGAGCGTTCAGGTTCAAACCTTGCCCATTTCTGACCTTACATAAATCACAGTGGGCTTGCAGTGTTTGCTTTCTGCTGCAGGAGGCTCGGGAAGGTGGGGGTAGTGGAATCAGCACCTGCTCAGACCTGTGGGAGCACAGCTGGCAGCGTGCTGTGACTGGTACAGCAGCACTGAGGGAGGGAGCGCCGTGGGGCACTGTGTGCAGGGCTTTCTTACGTGGAAGTCCATCACATGGACTTGCTAAGTGTGATTATCTTCACACCCAACCCTCTCCCCCCCCCCAAAAAAAGTAGCAGGTAGGCGACAGGCATTCTGTGTGACATTCACTGGGTGTGAGAATTAACAGAGGAAGAAACAGGAGTGACAATAAGCTGTGAAAGCCTTGAGAGAGGAAGAAAACAAGACACAAAAGCAAACACTTGGAAATCAATCTTCGTAGTGGCATTCTGGGCAAGCACCAGAGCTGTGATTGTGTTTGCCCTGACCGGAAAAAAAGGATGTCCTGAAATTGAGCTGATGACAAAAACCACAGGAGCCTGAGCTATGTGAATGATGGCATGCTGAAAGAATGGGACACGTAGGTGTAGTGATGTGAGTCAGACCTACTCTGCCAGTCCTGCGTGACAGCTGGTGGCTTCCACACACCTGGAAGTCAACGCAGCACACAGGAGTTCTTGTTTTGCGCCCCAAAAGCAGTGCCACTCTGCTGCGAGGTCAAACTGAAGTGATTCTGTTGTGTTGGTGACAACAACACCTTGACAAGAGAGCCTTAACTTCTCATGAGCAGCACAGCGGGCTCACTGCTGCCTCTGTGCACCCTGCAGGTTTGGGTGCTGCTTCCTCGTGTCAGAATGACAGCAGCTTTTTGGGTACCTGGCTGAGCTGGGTGACCTGCCTGGCTAACGAGAGGGCAGGGCAAGCATTTACTGTGAGTGCGTTTTTGCTCCATCTTCTCACATCCATTTCTCTCTTCGTTCCCTGTCACTATGATTCAGGCTGCTGCGATTTGTGGGAATCCCTGCTGCTTGGTGCAGTGTTTTCCGGAGGTCAAATCCTTGGCACTTGGGGGTCAGAAACGCAGCTGTGTGATATCTGTGGCTCTCTCAGAAAGCGGCCACAACTCAGCTTTGTGCTGGGGACGGTCTCGCTTCGGCACTGACAGCGTGCAGCACGGCTGTGTTTGAGTGACACTGATTGATTTCACCTCCTGCTCTTGTCCAACAGAATCCCGTACGGTTGTCAGCTGCTGCCTTCCCACCTTTGCAAAGATCTGGAAGTGGCCAAGACCTGCCAGTGCGGCAGCGCCTGCCTGAGCAGCTTCATTCAGCTGACGGTGACCATGAACCTGCACCACGTGGCTCACACCGTGGTCCTGGTGGACAACATGGGCGGCACGGAGGCGCCCATCATCTGCTACTTCTGTTCTCTGGGCTGCTATTCCCAGTTCCTGGACAGGTACCTGCAGAGCAGCGCCGACCACTGACAGCCCTGTTCTCGCAGGAGCTGCAGGAGGTTCTCTGTCGCAGCCTTGCGTGGAGGGGACGCGGTGCCCAGCTGCTTCTGGAGCCTCTGCCAGGAGCCAGAAATGCTGGTTGAATGAGAATGTACTCCAGTTGTGTTCTCCTTATTGCCTGTGCTTCAAGAAGGGGCCTTTTGTTGTCGTTTTTTTACTGAACTATTTGTATCTCTTTGTAATAGAAACACCTTTTCTAAACACACCAGCTGTGCTTTGTTTCCTTGGGCGTTGTGCAGATTGAATCCCACGCCGGGGGTTCCTGGTGTGTAATGATGATGTCGGAGAGACCCGGGAGTTCTTCACTCTGATGTGTAAAGGTTTCTTCACTCTGCTGTTTTAAACGTTCCTGTACCGTTCTGTGTCATTAAATGCTGAATCTGCTCTCTGCGTGCGGTGTATCGTCCCATCGGCACGGCCGGGAGCGACCTCTGTTAGGATCCACCTCAGTGCCGCAGATCCGGAGCGGCTCCACAGACGGCGTCCCTTCATGTCCCCGGGCACCACGGCCGTACCCCGCTCCCCGCACGCACAAACACGCACACACACACAGACACACGGGCGCACACACGCACGCAGCTCCGCCCCGCCGGAAGCCCCTCTCAAAATGGCGTCGCCGGTGGCCAATGAGGACGCGGCGGCGCTGGACGCGGGCGCCCTATGGCGGGCGGCGACGTGTGAGCGTGGGGCGGCGGCGGCGCGCACACGCGCGGAGCGGGGAGCGGGAGCGGCGGCGCCGGCGGCAGCGCGGCCGCCGGCGGCGGGAGGATGAGGCTGCGGATCTACAAGCGGAAGGTGCTGCTGCTGGCGCTGGCGCTGGCGGCCTGCGCGCTGGTGCTGTGGGGAGGCGGGGGGACGGGCGGGCGGCGGAGGCGGCCGCAGCAGCCGCAGCAGCGGGGCGGCACCGGAGAGCCGCCGCGGGTCAGCGAAGCGCCGCGCCGCCCCGCCGGCGCCGGCAACGCCTCGGCCTCGGCCTCCGCCGCCGCCCCGACCGCCGGCGCGGAGAACGGCACGCTGAGCTACCGCTCGCTCGTCTACCGCCTCAACTTCGACCAACCGCTGCGCAACGCGGGGCGCTTCCCGGCCCGGCCCGGCGGCCCCGACGTGGTGCTGGTGGTGCAGGTGCACGACCGCGCCGAGCACCTGCGGCTGCTGCTCGAGTCCCTGCGGCGCGCGGCGGGCGTGGAGAACGTGCTGCTGGTGCTGAGCCACGACCTGTGGGCCGACGAGCTGAACCGGCTGGCGGCCGGCGTGGACTTCTGCCCGGTGCTGCAGGTCTTCTTCCCCTTCAGCGTGCAGCTGTACCCCCGCGAGTTCCCCGGCCACGACCCCCGCGACTGCCCCCGCGACGTGGGCAGGGCGGCGGCGCTGCGCCTGGGCTGCCTCAACGCCGAGTTCCCCGACTCGTTCGGCCACTACCGCGAGGCGCGCTTCTCGCAGACCAAGCACCACTGGTGGTGGAAGCTGCACTTCGTGTGGGAGCGCGTGCGGGCGCTGCGGGAGCACGCCGGGCCCTTCGTCTTCCTGGAGGAGGACCACTACCTGGCGCCCGACTTCTACCACGTCCTCAAGCGGCTGTGGGCGCTGCGGCAGCGCGACTGCCCCGAGTGCCAGCTGGTCTCGCTGGGCTCCTACGCACTGGGCCGCGGGGGCTTCGCCGGCCGCGCCGACAAGGCAGAGGTGAAGACGTGGAAGTCCACGGAGCACAACATGGGCATGGCCTTCGGCAGAGACACCTACAGGCAGCTCATCGAGTGCACGGACGCCTTCTGCACGTACGATGACTACAACTGGGACTGGACGCTGCAGCACTTGACTGTCTCGTGTCTTCCAAAGTTCTGGAAGGTGCTGGTACCCGAAATCCCGCGCGTGTTTCACACGGGAGACTGCGGCATGCACCACAAGAAGTCCTGCAGGCCGTCCTCCCAGAGTGCCAAAATCGACTCTCTGTTGAGCAGCAACCGGCAGTACCTGTTCCCCAAGACGATGAGCGTCAGCAAAAGGTACTCCATGGCCCCCCTGTCCCCTCACGTCAAGAACGGAGGCTGGGGGGACATCCGGGACCACGAACTCTGTAAGAGTTATCGCCGCCTCCAGTGAGGACCTCGCTCGCAGCCTTCTCCTTTTTGAACTGCCCCATCCCGTCTTTTACAGACACACACGTGTATAAAGAGAAAAACAAACGAAAAAAACAAGCATTTATGAGTTGGTTTCTGCTTTAATATGAATAAACATTCATGTCAAAGGTGTCCCAAAACGTTCATCTCCGGTGTGCGGAGCTCGGCAGCGCTGTGTGCGGCCGGGCTGTGGAGCAGTGTGGATGGTTGTGCTCCGTGCTGCGCTCACCTGGAGGACGAATAAAAGGAGGAAGAGGAGGAGAGAGCTCTGCACCAAGCACGTCTTTGCAGTGCTCGCTGTGTACGCTTTGGGTTCCTTTTCTGCACCGTGTCCTGGGGCAGCGCGTTGCCTCCCTGCCATCCGCGGCGCCGTGCTGTGCCGGGTGGTTGGCTGCGTGTTGGTGAATATATGAAGGAAAAAAAGAAAAAAATCATTGTTTTTACTACGATGTAGATAAATATATACAATTTTTTTAGTTCTGCCAAAATAAAATTCAGTTGTTTTGTAATGCTGGAGGAGTTCTTCATTATCCTATAAAGGTGATGGCCTCTTGTGTTGCTGCGGAGCCGGGACGTGGGACGGCATCCATCAGCCTGCACTGAACTTCACTGTGGTTTGAATGAATGGCACTAATGGAGCTAGAGTAGAGGAGCAGCTGTGTGCTGCTCCCCAGCTTGCATTGGAGCTGTCAGCAGCGTGAAGTGGGAGCAGTGCTGGGTGATGGAAGGGGCTGAACAGAGGTGAAAGCAGCAGAGCCCTTCGTTAACAGCCAGCACTCGTCAGTGTGGGTTAAGGTGATGGCACAGCACCTCTGGCAGCAGAGAGGTTTGTAGAACACAGGTGTGTTAGCAAAGGAAGCTGCTACTGAAGGTGGCACAGGTAGATTTTACGTTGAGGGATGCTGGGGGGAATATGAAAAACCAATTTTGTTTCTTAATCAGATGGAATAGGGCTGGTGTTGTTAGGAGACCAGTGGTAACAGTGCACGGGGACACGGGCAGCACTGCCCTTCTTCCCCACCTTGACACCACTTTGGGTTGTGAGCGTGTCACTGAAATGTTCTTTCCAGAGCGAGCCAGGTTTTGTGAAATAGTCCAAATAATACAAAATGTTTACTCTGAATGTGCCATGATAAACTGCATTTTTGTTACGGGTAATTTGAGTGCCAAGATTTTGTATGAGCTTTGGTATTTGCTACATTTCATCGTTCCACAGTCAGGGCTGATGCTGAGAACAGCAGTGCAGGCTGTGTCAGCTCCCCCCATCCCTCCCCCAGGGCTGCACCACCGTGGGCTCACCTTCCCTGCACAGCCCCCACCCCGGGGCCCTCTGTCCCCAGGGACTTCTGCACTGCAGCTCACAGAGCAGCACGGGGCCAATTCCAGAGCTGCTGTGAAACACGTCCCATTTAACTGTGTTCTGAAGAGTTACGGTCTTGTGCAACTCAAAAACCAGAAGCAGAAGCAGTCAGAATGGGAATTGAAAGTTTACTGTAGATTTGTTCTCCTGGTTATTGCACTTCAGAGAGGAGGAGCCCGCAGCGTGCTCCAGCTCCCATGGAGCTGCTTCTCAACAGTGCATCTCCTCTGGATGAAGGGAATCAGTTCCAGAAGTCGCCTGCACTGAGCAGACGGCCACGAGACAGGATGGTTTTATTGCACGGTTGTGTTTGTTCAGCTGACAGACGGGGCTGTGCTTGGATGCTGCATCACTGAAAACATGGACTAGGGCAGAATATGTGGTATAAATGCTAATTATTTCTAGGAGACTAATTAGAACTTCTCCGTGTAATTAGGAATTTCATTTGATTGCTAGAACTCGGCGGCTGCCTAATCCTGCAGTTATCACAAAATGAAGGGTTTGAGCAAATGATGAACACTGCTCATTTCTAGGTGGACTAAATACAGCAGCTCCTGAGGGAGCCATTAGAAGAAGGATATACAACTACTCCATGTAATTTGGCAACAGATTAAGAAAGTTACATAAACAATAAAGAGGCACTGTCTTCTAGGAGCGCAGAGCTTCAGCTGCATCGTTCCCATCAGTGAAATTAGTTCAACCCATACGTATGAATAAAGGAAACTTAGACATGTTAACTTCACAAAATATTAATGGCTTAAGCGTTCTTCGTTGACAGATTAAGAGTTTCAGAAGGAACCCGGTTCTGCTTTCAGCCCTGCAGCCATAAACCACAGTCAAACACGAGGAGGAAATGCTGGCGCGGCGCCGCTAGTCCAGTTCATACAGCACGGAGTTCTGGAAGGCAATGCTGCAGTGTGTGCTGTGGTCCCTAATGCTCTGCACGCTCCCATCCTCACCCACCTCCTGCAGGAGTGGGGATGCAGCTGGGCTCCCCGCCCCCCCTGCCCGCCCCCCCTCCAACCCCAGGCCTGCAAATGCCTCATCTAAAGCTCGCTCTTTTCCCCCAGGTTTGCCAGGAAGCGCCGCACCGGTGTCAGAAGGTTCCTGCTGCAAACAATGCTGTGAACTTCCATCCACTTCTCCTATTGTTTCAGCTGTTACTAAAGATGCGGCAGCTCGCTGGTTTTGTGCAGGCCGTTGCTCAGCCGTGCCAGTGGCCACACGCTCTGACTCTGGCTCTGTTTGGAGGTGGTCCCCGTTGTTCCTCGCAGCGACGACTCCTCCTGAGCTGCTCACTGCTTGTTTGGTTTCATCGCATTCAGAACTGGCTGCTTCCTGCGCCTGAGGAGAAAATACATTCCTTGTTTTATATCTGAAGCTGACCAGGCAGCCCGAGCTGCTGTGAAGCAGGCAGGGATGCTCGTTTCTCCCCCCAGGAAGCAGTCAGTGTGGAGCAGAGGTTTTCCTGATCCCGTGCAGTGGGAATGAGGGGCCGGGAGGCTGCTCGCTTCCTCAGGGTTTCCTCTGCAGTAGGAAACGCTACTGGGCGGCTTCCACACAGTCATGGCTTATAATGCAATTAACAGAGTGGAAAAAGGCAAAGCCACCGTGCCCAGAGGTGACAACATCAGCCAAAGGAGCCGAACTCTCATTGCGAGGAGCAGCTTTTAACCTAACAGTGAGGGAAACGACCGTCTTGCTGTTTGAGAACATAGGGACTGGCAAGCAGGCTGCCTTTCTCCATCGGCCTCAGCGAGTTCATCGAGGAATTGCTCTGTGTGCCTCAGGAGAGCTGTGCCACCTGCTGCTGCCCAATCCTCACAGGTAGCACGGCCTCCCACCAGCAGGCAAGGAGAGCTGGGCATGGGGCTGCACTGCCTGCATCACAGCTTCCCTGACCTCAGAGCCGTGGCTCGCACTGCTAAGAACCAAAAGAAATACTTTTAAAGTGTCTGAGACCCAATTCTTCGCAAAGAAAATTCTCCAGGTTTTCACTGTCCTTGTGATAAGGCAGAGCATGAAATACTGGCAGCAACAGAACTCTCTCTGCCCATCCTAAGGATCCTTCATGTGTCAGCCACCAGCAGCAGCTTCCTGCCCTCCCTCCTGCCCCCAGTCCCTGGTGTAAGCCCAGCTCTGCTTACCAGGCTCCACCCAACTGTTGTAAATAGGAAGGACGTGGAGCATTCACTTATTTAGTTCAATGTTAAGAATGTTCTGGTTTTGTTCAGAAGACATCTGCCCTCATTTGTTTGCAGCGTGTTGTCATCACCTGGATGCACATGGGACTGCTCTGAAGAAGGCACACTAGGTAACTAGTTGGCCACTTTTCTATCAGCAAGAGACAGTGCATGGATGCCCACTGTGTATTCCTGCAACGTGAAAGAACATCTCCAATGACAGCATCACGGCTCTCCACTTTCCCAGCGAAATATAATGAAGTTCCAATCCTTTGGTGATATTAAATGGCACAAATGTGAACCTCTCCCTACAAACTGACACCAATGCTTACAAATGCACCATATGCTGTGGCTTTTTGTGCTACATCAAGACAGAGCTGTTGCACTCAAGCTGATGCTCTCTGACTGAAGTACAGAAATCAGTTGGCAGCATGTACTGCTGCCAGAGCTCCTTACCTTCAGCCTGATCTGAGTTCTGTCCTCAGACACATCGAGCACCTCAATCGACGTCTGAGCTTCCAGGTCCGACTGCATGCACGAGGAGGGGCACAGAACAGTGCGTAGGAATCCATCAACGTTTTCTTCACTGACAAATAACCTCTCCTAAAGAAAAGAAAGAGCAGTTTATGTTCATTCTGTCCCATACTTCAGAGGTACTGGAGCAAGAAACCCACATGGAACAACGCCAGGAGCCCGAGTCACAAACCAGCAGTCTTGTGGATACAGATTCTGCGTGGGACACTCACAAGGGATGCAGTGAAGCCAACACAGAGGAGCACTTAGCTCATGTTGATTCCAAGTGCAGAGGAAAGCAACATGCTTTCTCTCTTTGGATCCACGATTCATATACAGGTCTGAGGAACCATTCACAGTGATGCGGTTCTGCTGTCCTCACCTGTCCTACCATCAGGCGGTCTTGAGCATGCAGGGATTTGTTTCAGCCTCTTGCTTTGGGAAAATGCAAACACCTGAGGCATCCAGACCCTCAGAAGCCACAGCCATAAACACGCATGTCGGTATTCCTTTCACATCCACCTGAGAAGGCTCCTCAGGTGTCCCCTTAGGCACGAGCCAAGAGCGACTGGAAGAAGCAGAGAGGTGCCCAAGGCTCACGCAGGCTGGGGCAGGTCCTGAGGCTGTGTCAGCTGCGGTTCAGCAGCAGCACCAAACACGTTGCCACAGGTTTTAAGATTTCAATCGCTTACAGTTAATGAACAGCCCTAAAACACATCCTGGAGGAGCAGTTTCCTAAGTGTGGTGGACCCGGTGCTCCTATTCTTCCAAAGGCATCTGCTTAAGGCTGTGGGTAGACAGACCTCACTCAGCACAGCAAAACCAGTTCTACCCAGAGGGCTGCCTGGGGGAATGACGTTTCCATTCAGCAGTGAACACTTGAGTTGGAAACAGGAGGAATAAGTTGCAAGGCTTCTGCCGTCGCTCATATCCAAAACATCTCATTCTGTCACACCCTCTTGTCAGCCCAACGAAAGTTACATCCAGTTAGCAGCACCTGAGCAACAAAGAGGTAATTCATTTTTGCCCCTATGGATGCAGCCTTACGCACACTCGGATGCTGCACTGTTTCTAAGGTACAACA